GCAGGAATTGGACATTCTTCTGCAGCTCCGACACCGGAATATTGTCACTTTCCTTGGCTTTTGCGATGAACGAGGTGAAAATCTAATCTTCTCTTCTCTAATGGAATTCGAATTCTTTGTTTTTTAGTTAATCAAATTTGGATTAGACCCAAAAAGAAAATGTTCAAACTCAGAGAGAAAACAGAGGAAAACAGAGGAAAACAGAGGAAACAGAGGAAAAGAATAAAGCAAAAAAGACAGTAGAATAAAAGCAATTCAATAATTTGCGTTTCATCTTTCAACTTTGATTAACTGTTAATCACAAATCTGTAATGATTAATCCGATGATTAAATTGAAGTTTATGAATTTAAAAAATTGCAGATGAAGGAGCTTTGGTCTTCGAATATGTCTCCAATGGGAGCTTGCAAGAGAAGCTTCACAGCCGGCTGCCGGCGGCGAAGACAGCGGTGCCGGTTCTTCCATGGAAAATCCGGTTAGCCATTGCCTTTCAGTTAGCTCAAGCAATCGAATACCTCCATGAAAAATGCAGTCTACAAATCGTTCATGGCGATATAAAATCATCGAACATTTTACTGGACGAACGCTTCAATTGCAAACTCTGTGATTTTGGGTCGGCGAAAATGGGATTCTCATCGGCAGTAGCGAATCCGTCGTCGTCGTCATCGCCGTCGAGCCCCTTCAGAGCGAAGCAATGGATGATGGGATCTCCCGGTTACACAGATCCCCAATACTTAAGAACCGGAATCGCCTCAAAGAAGAACGACATTTACAGTTTCGGCGTGGTAGTTTTAGAGCTAATCACCGGAAAAGAGGCTTTCTGCTCGGAGAAGGGTCTGATTCTGACTTCAATTTTACCTCCAGCAGTTCGCGACGGCGAAGGAATTAAACCGTCGGCGGTGGCGGAACTGGTGGATCCGCGGCTCCGGGGAGAATTCGACAGCAATGAAGCCGGAGCGTTGCTTTCAATCGCAGCCGCCTGCTTAGCGCAGCCGCCCGCACCGAGGCCGGTGATCGGAGGCGTGCTGCAGATGATGACGGAGAAGATCGGGAATGTGAGCGACGGGGTATGGGCGGGGAAACGTGGCAGTAAATTATTGGATATGGGGAGATGGTAAAAACAAATGGGTAAATATGTAAAAATGGGTTAGGAAAGAATATTTGTTTGTTTGATTTTAAAAATAGGAAAAAAAAAAAAGAAAAGAAAAACGTGGAGGATGGCGTCCACGTTGCCATCACCGACGATGACTTGTTGTCCATGACAGCAATTATTTTGTGCCGATTTGGAATTATGTGGCTGCCAGAGTGTCAATTGTGGGCCCCATTCTCTCATTGTTATTTTCAAACTCATATTTTATCCAATTTCTTACCATGTCAAACTAATTTTCATACCATTGGCGTAACCTAAAATCAATTCACAACTACTATGATTGACCATTGACTATTACCGGTGGTTGACGATAATGGAAGTGACGTGAAATCAGGGGTCGGTGATGCTTTGTGGTGGTCGGTTATGACCGTTAGTAATGACAGAGGTGAGCGGCAATTGCTGGAGCAATTGTCGAACTCGACAGTTGTTAACGTTTGGTCATTAGCAGTAGACAGCAACTGCCTTGGTGGAAGTGAAGGTGGAGAGATTTGAAACAGGGTAGCGTAAGGGTATTTTAGTAATTTTCCTATATATAAAATTTTGATAGATAATCACTATTAATACTTTTTAAGTTTAGGCATCATTTAAACAAATAATCATATTATACCATAAGAAGAAGGAAGAAAGTAATTAGTACCACTGCTTTGCTCCAAAAGCATATCATATTAGAGACGGAAGGTTACAATGATAAGAACGGAGATTAATCACTTGACAATGGTATGCTTTCAACAAACGGAGATTGATCGGGAAAGAAACGGAGAAGATGTAGAATTAGAGACGGAAGGTTGACTTCTTAATTGAATTTTGTGAAAAACATGAATGCAATACAAAATCCCTAAACACATGTTTCACACTGTAACTCGACGATACAGGCAGAATTCATGAAGGAGTGCACACAAATTTTTTCGACTATGCTGCATTTCATTTTAATTTTTTGAAGCATTGAGACGATGCTTCCTTAGCTTGAGTTTGGCAATGTCGTGACATTTCTACATGCAACACCTTGGTGTTGCCTACTTGTCTACACGGCTCCATCCAATGATCTTTTCAAATCTTCTTCTATTTTCTTGTTTTTATCTATTTGATGTCCTATTAAGGATTAAAATACTCGTTAATATAGGGGAGAGTTTGACATCAATATTAAGTCCTCTCTCGTTTGTCTATAAATTGTTCTTGATAGTTTGCTCGATTCTTTGTGTGGTTGCTGGTTATATTTTATAGTGAAATCGAAACATCCATATTATTATGTCTATACTATAACATGGATTGCTTTTACACAAAAATAATATTAATTTAAGTATACTTCAATTGACTCGATACCTAGAACATTTAAACACGAACACAGCTGCCACTCGTGTACTGACCGAAGCTCCTCACGTGCTGTGGAACATCCATTTCATCATCTTTGATTCTCATGGCAGAGTAGGTTCCGGCACCGACAACCCCCCCAAGTATAGGAGCCACCATGTACACCCACAGCCCTCTGTAATTTCCGGCGGCCACGGCGGGGCCAAGAGTCCGCACGGGGTTCATTGAACCACCGGTGGACGACCCTGCGATAAGAATGTTGAGCATCACGGTAGCTCCGACGGCAATTCCGGCCAACTCTCTAACCTGTGATAATTAAATTTTTGAGTAATAAATTAAGCAAAAACTTACACAATTAAAGGGATTTATTCATTTATTTTTTTTTTTTTGTTCTTACAACGCGAGGATCAGTAGTGACAGCAGTGACCACGAACAAGAGATTGAAGGCAATGAGGAATTCAAGAGCAAAGGCTTGGCCGGTGCTGACGGAGGGAACTGTAACGCCGCCGGACATGAAAGGGTGAAAGATACCTTTGAGAGTGAAAGAGGCGCATATGGAGGCGGAGATTTGGGCGGTGAGGTAGGCAGGGACTTGAACCCAAGGGAAGTGGCGGATGGCGGCTAAGGCGATGGTGAGTGAGGGGTTAAGGTGGGCGCCGGAGATGTGTCCCGTCGACAGAATTACGATCATCACCGCTAGGGCGGAGGATGCTGCGTTTCCGATCAGAGAGGTGATGTTGTTGTACTTTTGGTTGATGATCGGTGCGGCTGTTGCAGCAAATATGAGGATGAATGTGCCCACAAATTCTGCTCCCACCTACATGATATCACTCAAATATTCAGCTTCAACCTATTACAACCCTAAAAAAATTCGGTTGAGTCGGGTCGGGTGTAACAATCCAAGCAAATATTGTCTGCTTTAGCTCGTTACGTAAACTGTCAGCCTTACGATTTTAAAATGTGTCTACTAGGAAGAGGTTCTCACACCCTCATAAGGAATGTTTTGTTCCACTCTTCAACCGATATGGGATCTCACAATCCACCCCTCCTTGGGGGCTAGCGCCCTCGCTGGCAAACCCCCGATGTCTGACTCTAATATTATTTCTAACAACCTAAGCCCACCGCTAGCAGATATTGTCTGCTTTAACCCGTTATGTATCGTTGCCTCTCAGTATCACACCTTTATAAGGAATGTTTTATTTCCCTCTTCAATCGATGTGAAATCTCACAATCCATCCCCTTTGGGGGCCAGCGCCCTTGCTAGCACATCGCTCGATGTCTAGCTCTAATGTCATTTGTAACAACTCAAGCCCACCGCTAGCAGATATTGTCCGCTTTCGCTCATTGCGTATCGTCGTCAGCCTCACGGTATTACACTTTTATAAGAAATGCTTTGTTTCCGACTAGATGATATAAATTGTTGTAGTTGAAATAAGAGCGTAGTACTACTTGATCTTAAAAACCTGTCGAACCAACCTAATGTGCCAATCTATATGACTTAGAATAGTAGGTTCGTGATTTGTACCAATTTCATAAAATAAGCTCCTTATTCAATCATAGTTAAAATGTTTATCCTCGACATGATTGAACATGAAAAAACAAAAAATAAGTACCTTTCGAGTGAGGGAGACATGAGTCGGAAGGCGAGGTTGGCTCCTCTTTAGGGCATCGATGGGTAAGCACTCGATTTGCGACATTGGCTTCTGGTGGACAATGGCTTCGTTTTCTATGTTTTACTGGAAAAGAAACCATTTTTTTAACAAAAAGTTATAAGTAGAAATAGTGATCGTAAACTTAATATTAAAGAGTACAAAACTAAAAGCAAAACGATTATCGAACCTTCATACCCTATGAAATTGTCAAGCTCAAGAAATAAAGAACAAGGACTCGAATTGAAGAAGATTAAAGAGTACCTTTATACTGCAAAAATACTCTTTTGATCATTCACAACTCAATAATGATAATTCCCCCTCTATTTAAGAATAGAAGAGAGTGATCTTCACGTTACTGTAGCTTTCTTTTTTCTTTGAAAAAGTAGAATCTATGAGTATTTAGAGGATCTAATTTGGTAGCATTAAGAATCGAAGACGGGAAATTCAGACATCCACAAGTTGCTCGATACTGTGACCCTTCAGAAGCCAAATACCATAAAAATTATGCAACGAAGCAGTCACGATAATCATTGAATACAGATTCATAATACTATTAAAGCTTTTCTATATCTTCAATGGCATAGAAACGAACAAGTATGAAACCTAAGAAAGAGCGTCCTAATTGGCCTTTAAATGTTTAGACATGGACATCGATAAAATTCTATACAGCCAAGTTAACGTGATGATATGGTTGCTTCTATGGTCAATTTCGAATTGGCCCCTCGAATCAATGCTTAATTGATTGTGTGTATAATAGGAGTGCAGAAACAAACCGAAAAATCAAACCGAAGATAACTGAAAATTTTGTTTTTAATGCTTAACGTAGTCCGGTTCGGTTTAAAATATTAATAAAATTCGAAACATACAGGTAAGTTCGTGTTAATAGAACTCATTGATCAGTAGAGATATTCTTCACTCTTAGAGTAATTCAAGAAAAGTAGGTATCATGGCCTTGTCTCGAGGGGTGTAGGGTTCAAATCCAGCTCGGCCCAATAATTCACAGATATCAAGCCGTCAAATATTGAATCCAGATTTCGAATCCTCTTAGATTAGCATGATATTAAGTTAACAAAATTTACTAAACACAGAGTTTTGAAGCATTTTTATTTCCTTTTCTGGCATTCATCACTCTCTCCACCATTCGACTTCCAATAATGTTTGTAGATTCAGTTCTTCTCTGATCATTACTCAAGTTTCCGCCCCTGTTAATCTCTTGTTTCACCTCCACTTTGCGCCCCCTCGTCACACTTGGCGAGCACGATTGCCTTCTGGAGTTGATGTTGATCGTCTCTGGTTTCTGCTCAGTTCCTACCTGCCGCCCTCTCGTCACCGAGCTCGACCGATCGGTCCTCAGATTCGGAGGTGTTTCGTTGGAGAAGTCTGGAATTTGAGATGCTATTGTCGATCTCACAATTGGAGATGTCGTTCTACTTCTTGGATTTGGGTTTGGATTTGACTTTGCCTTTGGCTTGGAGAGGTTTGATGTTAGATAATCTGTGTAGCTTTCTTTAAGATTTGTGGATTTCGTTTTATTGTTGTTTCTTTTGATTGTGGGGTCTGTTGATGATGCCTGAGAGATTCTCTGGTTTGGGTTTGTGATTCTTTGGGTGTTTTTGGGTTCAGTTGATGAATTGATGCGTGGTTTATAACTGGGAGTGATGGATCTGGATGGTATTCTTGGATTTGTAGTGGGAGATTTCTCAATTCCATTGCTTCTCTTGGTTGATTCTGAATTGTTAGAAGCCTGGCCATAATTGCAACATGGAGACTGAGATTCAATGGATACTTTAGTGATATCATATAGGATTAGAGAAACCATGAAAGAAAATCCAGAGTTCATGTACATTTAACTCGCAGGTCAATCAGTCGAATGAAGGAAATTAAGATTCTTTCTTGAGATGTCCATTTCAGTTCCACCCTGGACGGGATGGAGATGTTGAGGATTGTTGGGACAGCAGTCTCACATCGGTTAATTAAGGGATTGATCATGGATTTATAAGTAATAAATATACATCTCCATTGGTATGAGGCCTTTTCGGGAAACCAAAAGCAAAGCCATGAGAACTTATGCTCAAAGTGGATAATATCATACCATTGTGGAAATTTGTGGTTCTTAACATGGTATCAGAGTCATGCCCTTAGCTTAGCCATGTCAATAGAATCCTCTAATGTCGAATAAAGAAGTGGTGAGCCTCGAAGGTGTAAACAAAAGTGACTAAAGTGTCGAACAAAGGTGTACTTTGTTCGAGGGCTCCAAAGGAGTTGAGTCTTGATTGAGAGGAGGCTGTTCGAGGGCTCCATAAGCCTTACGAGAGGCTCTATGGTGTACTTTGTTCGAGGGAAAGATTGTTGAGGATGGTTAGGAGAGGAGTCTTACATCGGCTAATTAGGGATTGATCATGGATTTATAAGTAATGAATACAAATTTCCATTGGTACGAGGCCTTTTCGAGAAACCAAAAGCAAAGTCATGAGAGCTTATGCTCAAAGTGGATAGTATCATACCATTATGGAGATGTGTGGTTTCTAACCGAGAGAGATTTATCCCCTTAGCTAAACAGGGGTCAGGAGGTCGGGGCAGAAATATGAAATAGGAGGCGGTTCCCTATCCCTTCCCCATAGACAACTATAATTCTCACATCTATTTGGATTAATAAAATATTTCAGAGAAGCGCACCTGAGACTGTGGCTGTGAGAGAAGCTGGAGAAATCTGGTCTCTTTCTGAGCTTTCATATGTGGAGCAATGGCTTCCATTTCCAAAGATGGGAACAAAGGAGTTGCAGGTGGTGTTTTAAGCCTTCAATAAGCAGTGTTCATGAAGATAATAACTTCAGAAGAGTTACCAATTAAACAAACTCTGAATCAAAGAAGATGAGATTTTTACCAATCATAATCGTTTTTGTTGCCCTCAGAAAGGAGTTCAAATTCAGACTCTTTTCTGATTGGTTGAATTCTGTAGAACTGAGAATTCCCTGCAAAAGTAACTCGAGATCAAATAAAAGCTTAGCAAGAAAGTTAACAGAACTCAGATCACTGTGGAGGTTCATGATTCCTAACATCATGGAGTTCATAATTACCACCATTGCTGTGTTCAAGGTCATGGACGGGAAGAAGAAAGCAGGCAGTGCGTTCCTTGCCACGCTTATGCAGCTCCCGGAACAGATGAAGATCTTCATTGTCGCTTTCCTTTCGACCCTTTAAATGCAGACCCATCATCCATCTGGTTTTGCTGCCATTGGTGGGAGTTCCCATTTTTTTTCTTGAGAAAAGCTTCTGAAATTTGTTCCTTGGATCTCGAATGAGCAATGGTAATGGAGACTGGTTTTAGTGGAAAAGGAGGTCTTAAGAACAAATTAGAGGACCCTTTTGGCTTTGTTGAAAGCGAAAACTCAGCCAAATGGGTATCATCGCCGGCAGCTTCAACGTCTTTGGGGAAAATGACAGTGTTAGCTCTAAGAATCATTGGAAACCAGATTCCTCTAGACAAGACGTTATATTAATAACAAACTAATGAAGTTCATCATTTTTAAACTAAATTATAAATCTATGAACCAAACACAAACTATATAAACTCAGTATCTCTATACCTTATTTTGTTGTACATTCAAACACAAATTATACCGACTCTAAGAGTCGAGCCTCGACTTTATAAACCAAGGTTTATTAAATAATATGGTAAAAATTCCCGAAGACTTTTGTTTCCGGAGTAAGAACAAAATAAGAATTTAGAATGTTTATAATTCACATAATTGATTTCGTTAGAAAATATATGAAAAAAATAATCAGAAAAAAGTCAAAGAATATAAAATATATGCACTACAGACCATAGCATAGACAGAAATGAACAATTTAAATTAAAAATCAATTGAAAATGTCAAAGTACATTACAATTAAAGGTTATAAATATCACCTTTTTAAGTAATTGAATCAGTTGTGCCGTCCATGCGTGTAATGGCCTGCATATTATTTACCACAATTAGAACTATCTTGCCGGCAGAGAAAATAGGACTCCCAAGGAAGTCCCAAACTCTTTCAGTTGGAAATTAAGTAAAGTCCCGAGAAGGTAAGAACTTGAACCTGAGTCCATTCACGGCTAGTTTACCACCAATGCACGAGGTCTTGAAAATGAATCAGGTTGTTGGATTCAACAAACATAGAATGAGATCAAATCATCAACAATTGAGAGGGTAATTCGTGCATTATCCCATTGAACTATGTTCAAATTGACAAGATCCGAAAAATTATTAGATGCAATAAAGTGGGGTTAGGTTAAAAACGCTTTCTCTATCTCATCTCCTTTCCTACTTTCAGAAAGAGGTAGAGTCTCGATGAGGTCGGAAGTTCTAGAGAACGAACTGGGTCAAAATTGAAATGGAGAAAATATCAAAAGAAATCCTTCACTAAAGTTGAATATTATGCTATGTCTAGAGCAATAGCGAAAGGTTTTTTGGCTCAATGTCCTCTCAAGAAAGGGATTTGTAGTCTATTGATTCTCACTGCGCTGACAATGTCAACAATATCAAATATGCAAAATGGCATTCAAGTTCTAATGCATTCATTCCCACATAATAAAAGCAAGGAAGCATACCGGAACTGGGAATATCAAGAAGCCGCTTCTGGACAGTGGATTCTGAAATTTCAACCTCCACAGAGTTCCTATCCCATGGCTGCATTTCATCGAACACCTTGAATTCACCATCTTCTTTCGCTTCCATGGGAGATTCGTCGTCAACGGAATTTAGTTTCTCGAGTGATGGCGTAATGGGTCTCAAAGACCTGAGCAATTGGAGCAACCCTCGCTGCGCAAGCGCCTGCTCGACATAAGCATCCCACATGCTCATCCCCAGTTGCCTCAAATCTGACAACCAGCCAAAACGAAGCGCGGTCAGAAACTTCAATAAATAAAAGGTTATTCATGCTTTTCACTTATTTGTTTTCCTTATTTACTTTAGATAAGTTATCAAACTTAATATCACGTCAATATATCGAGTCCAATATTTCGGGGAAGTGTTGGGAGTCGACAAAGGTTATTCCAATGAAAATAACTCGTCGGGTGGCTCATTGGCAAAGGTTATCCTGACGAAGAACTAAGAACAAAATGAACATCTCGCAGAAACTCATGACTCATTCAATTGTTAAGAATGCTTAACTTATGTACATGAATTGTGAGATCCCACATCGGTGGAGGAGGAGAACGGAACATTCTTTATAAGGGTATGGAAACCTCACCCTAGCAGACGCATTTTAAAAACCTCAAAGGAAAGCCCAAAGAATACAATATCTGCTAGCGGTGGGCTTGGACCATTACAAGAATGCTCCAAGAAACCCATACAAAGCTACTCGAACCCCACAAACAAACTAAAACATGGATGGCTCCGACTCAATCAAATATACCAACCACATACACAAAGACCCACCTAAATGAGAATCACCCCTCATGATGAATCTCATATGTCTAAATGAAACTATCCCCTCACCAACCCCAATACACTAATCTCAAACTTATGAATATAACGACTTAACTAAGACTTCAATTTAGAAACTACTCCATACAATCAACACATCAAAACTAGACTGTCCACCCCAAGAACTCAAGTTCCACATAAAGATGCAACTCTTTCTTAATCTCTAATAAAGAAATAAATTTCAAGAATACATGAGATAAAGAAAAAAATAAAATTAAGTTATGATAATGGCACCAAACACATACATCATAATAAGCTCTACACTAGAGCCTCAATAAAGATGAATTCACATGTAGAATCAAACACTTAACCAAACCAAATAGGCCATGACATGGAAACAAGTAGCTATTCTAAACTAACTACCAAGTATATAACTGCCCAAGCCCACTGTTAGCCGATATTGTTTTCTTTGGGCTTTCCATTTCAGGCTTCCCCTCAAGGTTTTTAAAACGCGTCTATTATGGAGAGGTTACCACACCCTTATAAAGAATGTTTCGTTCTTATCCCTAATCGATGTGGGATCTCACAATCCACCCTCGCTGGCACTCGTTCCCTTCTTCAATCGATGTGAGACCCCCCAATCCACCCCCCTTTAGGGCCCAACGTCCTTGTTGGCACACCGCCTCGTGTCCACCCCCTTCTGGGTTCAGCCTCCTCGCTGGTACATCGCTCGATACCTGGCTCTGATACCAACTAAAAAGCTGGTTGTTACATAAAGTATTTCTTATAAGGATGTGGAAACCTCTCCGTAACATATGCGTTTAAAACCTTGAGGGGAAGCCTAGAAGGGAAAGCCCAAATAAGACAATATCTACTAGTGGTAGGATTGGGCTGTTACAAATACGTACCCGGACAAGCCAAGCAAATAAGGGAAAAAGTACCAAGCACCATATTTCTTTCATTATAGCTTAAATTACATACATCAAAATGCTATTCCTTTGTTTTACAAGAGTACAATTGAAGGTCGAGGCATTTTAACCTAAACCAAGTCGAATTCACAGCTATGACATAAGGATCCTATTGAGTTAGCTAAACAAAATCCAATACATCAAAACATTAACAAGCCCACAAAATATCAAACAAAATTCAAGTTGTACAATGCAGCATTCTAGCATATCAGAAATATCCACAAACTCAAACAACAAAGCATTACTAATCAAAACTCATCAGATACTTCAAAGAGAACAAGGGCCACTCCCAAATAAATAAACAACACATGAAGCCCTCACCAAATTTCCATAGCTGCGTGAACTGAGGTTTGAACCTTTGAAAGGAAATGCCACAAGAACAGTCCCTAAATAATGCAGCCAAATATTACTAGCACATAAAACAACCCAACGCATCAGTTATTTCCTTCGGTAATACTATTGAATCCACGAACTTGAAGCGAGATTGATAGACTACGGAAAGTCTTACAATCTTCGCCGAAAACTCGGTCTACGAACGATAGAGAAAGCTAGAGGCACCTGCCGGTGGCGCCAGAACAGCGACGGGAGCGGGAGCGGGAAATGGCGGCGGCAAAGGATGTCGAAAAAGAAGAAACGTTGGAAGATCCTAATTTTAGTGCCGTGACCAGTTCTAAGAATTGTAGAAAGCTAAAAAAAAAAAAAAAAATTAAGCAATTCAATGTTTAATTTTAAATTAATTTTGTGGGATTATTTTAATAAAATGGTTAAATCAATTATTAATTAATTATAGTGAAAATTATGCGTATACCCTCGCTACGACGTTGATATGTAGCATATTGATTTCGAGCATCGTAGTGAGTACATGAAGACTAACCTTCTTTTATAGTAATTACTCTCGAGACTAAAACCTCAAAGAGGTTGTAGGAAATGCTTCAAACGTCGTATCAATTTGTATCTTTAGATTATGGGTATCGGTACACAGTGACTCAATTAGAACTATTGGAACTTTTAGGCTGATCTGGAATATCTCGATGTCTAATCAAATTATCTTCTCTTGAATTTAAACACCTTCAATAAAATGTTTTTATTTGCAATAAAAGAAGATTGTCTCTCATGATGTCTAAGAGTCGTGTGTTGTTTATGATCATTGTGACTTCAAAGTTGGTATGTACTATGTTGGCTCGAATACCGTAATGATATGTGAAGATTAACCTTATTTTATAGTAATTATTTATCATTGGTAAAATTCACGAGGAGGTTATAAGGAATGCTTTGAACGTTACGAGATTTTTCGATTAAGGGTAGATTAGGGGTATCATCGGTGTATAATTGAGGCCTACGAGTCGATATGAATATCTCGATGTCGAATCGAATCATCTCCTCTTAAATTCGAACATCTTTATTAAAATATTGAAGAAAAGTTGCTTACCGCGCTTTTTATTTTAGGTGAGCGTTGGACTTTCAGTTTCTCAGGGATGAGCATGTGGGATGCCTGTGTCGAGCAGGCGCTAGCGCAGCTAGGGTTGCTCCAATTGCTCAGATCTTTGAGACCCATTACGCCATCACTCGAGAAACTAAATCCCGTTGACGACGAAGCTCCCATCGAAGCGAAAGAAGATGGTGAATTCAAGGTGTTCGATGAAATGCAGCCGTGGGATAGGGCCTCTGTGGAGGTTGAAATTGCGGAATCCACTGTCCAGAAGTGGCTTCTTGATATTCCCAGTTCCGGTATGCTTCCCTGCTTTTGTGATGCGAGAATGGGATGCATTCTACTTGAGTGCCGTTTTTCATGTTTGGATTTTGTGCCAGCGCTAACTACAAATACTTTGTATGTGAATTGCTCTGTGATTGTCTCTGTTTGTTTTTTTATACTTCAAAGAAATGCGAACATTTCAACTCTCATGCAATAATTCGACAGTATTTTAAATGCTATGATGATACCGAATTATTATTGGAGCTTAAATAAAATAATACGGTAGTTGGACAATTTAGAACTTATCCCGATCCACACGAAATGATTCCATCATTCAAACTCTTTTTTATATTCTTTTCTTTATTAGGCAAAACAATTGGAATGTCAAAAGTCATATTCAAGACAATTAATCCCATTTTTGTTTATAGATCCGTGAACTTAAAAACTGTTGAAGAGATTACTAAATATTAAACGCAAGGGACCTTTAAGCACAACTTTAAAAGTTTAGAGACTAGACTTAGTAACCGAATGAGACTTAGATATAATCCACACTCAAGGTTTAATTCCATGCGGGCAGAAAAAAGAAGGAAGGAAAAAGGAAATTCTAATCGGAGTATATAAGAAGAGTAGTATTGTTCAACAAAAAAATTTATCATTGTTATAAAAAGAGGGGAGTAGTAAAAGAAATGTTTAGAGCAAGAATTTCGTAATGAAGCAGTAGGGGAAACTGTGAGATTCCACGTCGGCCGAAGAGAAACGAAACATTCTTTATAAGGGTGTGGAAACCTCTCCCTAGTAGACGCATTTTAAAAACCTTGAGGAGAAGCCCGAAAGAGAAAACCCAAAGGACAATAGTTATTTGCGATGGACTTGTGATGTCATAAATGGTATCAAAGCCAGACACCATGGAATGTGCCAGCAAGGAGGCTGAGCCCTGAAAGGGGGTGGATTAGGGGATCCCCATCGATTGGAGAAAGGGAACGAGTGTCAGCGAGGACTCTGAGCCCCGAAGGGGAGTAGATTGTGAGATTTCACATCGGTTGGAGAGGGGAACAAAACATTCTTTATAAGGGTGTGGAAACCTCTCTCTAGTAGACGCATTTTAAAAACCTTGAGGGGAAGCTCGAAAGGGAAAGCCCTCAGGGTAGATTGTGAGATCCCATATCGGTTGGAGAGGGGAACGAAGCATTCTTTATAAGGGTGTGGAAACCTCTCCCTAGTAGATGCGTTTTAAAAACTTTGAGGGAAAGCTCGAAAGGGAAAGCCCTCGGGGTAAATTGTGAGATCCCATATCGGTTGGAGAGGGGAACGAAACATTCTTTATGAGGGTGTGAAAACCTCTCCCTAGTAGACGCATTTTAAAAACCTTGAGGGGAAGTTCGAAAGGGAAATTCCTCGAGGTAGATTGTGAGATCCCACATCGGTTGGAGAGGGGAACAAAACATTCTGTGGAAACTTCTCCCTAATAGACGCGTTTTAAAAACCTGAGGGAAAGCCTAAAAAGAACGGTATCTGCTAGGGGTGGGCTTAGGCTGCTTAAACAGTGTTGTTGTTCTTATATTAGAGCAACTTCTGTAAAAAAAAATGAAAATTACTGAAAAGAAGGGTAGATAAGACTTTGTAACGCTCCTAATTTTCTTGCCCTAAATTAGGGACGTTACAAATGATAGCAGAGCCAGACACGGGGCGGTGTGCCAGCGAGGATGCTGGGATCCGAAGGGGGGTGGATTATGAGATCCCACATCAATTGTAGAGGGGAATGAGTGCTAGCGAGGATACTGAGTCTCAAAAGAGGATAGATTGTGAGATTCCACATCGATTGGAGAGAGGAACGAGTGCTAGCGAGGACGCTAGACCCCGAAAGAGGGTGGATTGTGAGATCCCACATCGGTTGAAGAGGGGAACAAAGTATTTTTTATAAGGGTGTGGAAACCTTTCCCTAGCAAACGCGTTTTAAAAATCTTGAGGGGAAGCCCAAAAGGGAAAGCCGAAAATGGACAATATCTGCTAGTGGTGGACATGGGCTGTTACAACATTTTATAATTGAAACAAATATCTAAGTTTTGATAGTTAATCAAATATTTGATGTGATTCTGTGAAGATTTTCACATGGGAAGATTATAAGTTTAAGATTTTTAAATTTCAAGCCTGTTTTCCTTATCCTCTTTGCCTAGGATAAGTAGTCTTAGTTGTTCTTTATTATCTATTTTTTTCAGTAGTAAAAGACATCATGATATCCTTTCTTGAAACATCTTGATAACCATCTGACATTGGCCATAATCCAATCAATCAGAAAAGAGAGTGTTATTTCTCCCAATTTGCTACCTCTATACCTGCTTTCAGCTACCTTAAGCCTCTTGCTTTCTATGAAAGCAACACCTTCTGGATGTCGCTTACTTCTTATGGAGGCTATCCTCTCTCTGTCACCCTTCCTTAATATCTTTGACTGGAACAAATGGATGTTAGTAAGGTTATCAAAATGTTAGTATCATTCTGGCTTGTAGAAAGTAGACATTTTGCGGTACTAACTGATTATATTGAAATCGTTGCAAGGCCTTCGAGTCATCCTACATTGGATGCAATTAGTTTTTGTGGAAGTGTTCTGACTATGTGACCAAAGGAAATCAAGAAAATATATAATAAAAACTTTTACTCATACTGTCTGATTTGAATGGCGAAATCTGCTCGCCTTTTAAGCATCGGCCATACATATTGTATTATATAATAGCTAGTTATGAGAAAGTCCAGGCATTTGTTTGTTGGTTGACTTTTTTCTCGTATTTTCTGGAAAATTAAGTTTTATTATTCTGTTTTATTTTATTTCAGAAACTTAAGTTGATATTTGCATAAATGGAAAATGTCAATGCAACTATATTTTTTTTTTTTACAAAGGGGGTAGTTGTGTAGTTGGTGTGCTACGAACTTGACCTGTTTCTTTTTATATTGTAAGAAAAAAGTCAGCCCAATCTTTTGACACAAAGAACACAATAGCAACTTTAATGAAAAACAAAAGAGCTTTTCCTCCTTTTTGTCTTCCTCCAAAAAAATTTAAAAATAATAAAAATTATCGAACATAGCTAAATACAAGGTCTGCTGAGGGTTCTTTCTTGAGAGAAGAGTGATGATTTCTCGGAAAGGCACATCGTCTTTAAGAACAATATTTAATCATGTGCCTCAATCATTAACAAACTCTTCTAACCCCCTCATTTACTCATTTTTTAATAATTTATCGTTGATTATTGTTGTTGACTTCTAGTGTTTCTACTTAGTTGTATTTGGGGCATGTTTTGGAGTAATTTTGAAATGGTCAAATTCATTTTGGTTGGGTTCAAAATGTCTCTAAAGTAAGCCTTTAATCATTCAAAGTCAATTTAATGTTTGACTTTACACTCTTAAAAATGATTTTCATACGACCAAAAGTGCTTTTGAATCATTAAAGTCATGTTTCGGAGTGATTTTGTAAATAACAGAAGTGTTTTAATCACTTCAAAATCACTCCCAAACATTGACCATTACTTATAGTAGTTCTAACATTCCATGCACTTTCACTGTTGTCAAAATTACTTTTTCATGTGTAAAATAAATTAAATAAAAGGGGTAAAATTCCATACCCTCAATGAAACTATTTTCTATTCTTTTTTAAAAAAGTGTTCGAAATATCCAATATAGCCATTGGGCTTTCCAGTGTAACTGGACCTTTACTTGTGATTCTTTCAATGCACTTGATTGGAAAGAACTATATGTTTTCTCAGATGATTAATCTTTCCTGTGTTTATTATCAATTTGCTTTGTTCTTATAGGAGATGAAATTGTAACCAAAGGTGGTGCCATAAAAAGTTTAGTGGAACATCCTCATCAATTCAAAAAGTTAATTCTATTTTCTGGAAACGATTATCTGGGACTAAGTTCCCATCCAACAATAGGAAGAGCAGCAGCAAAGGTGTGTTTAAGGATATATTACTCTTCAAAAAATCTTCTGTCGCCATGATACTTGTATTTCTTTGTTCTTTCTCTAGTGTCTGAAACTCAATTCTAAACCAGGCTGCTCTAGAATATAGAATGGGCCCCAGGGGTTCTGCTCTAATCTGTGGATATACCTTCCATCATAGGCTGCTAGAATCATGCTTGGCCAAATTAAAGAAGAAAGAGGTATGTATTGAATGTTATGGATGTATATTTAATCAGAAGTACCATCATGGAATGTGTCACCTTTTGAACACGGATAAATGCTTGGCCAATTACTGATAAATGATAATTCATTTCAGTGTTTACAGAACACAAGACATGAGTCTAATTTGAAAGGCCTCATAGTTGTCCAAAGTTTGAGATGTCAAATGTTGCTTAATTAAGCAAGTCACAATTTAATTAGTAGAATTTATGATATGGTGCGGTATTTATAAGAGGGTAATGTGAAATACTGTGAAACAATGGAATAGAATCAAACCAAGATCGTAATTAAAGTATTACATGAATATATGTATGTGATTGAAGCAAGCAATTCGCATCTCGGCTCAACATTGTGTTTGTAATTTGCATATATCATGGACTGTGGGAAATGTGTGGGCCCCTGCTATGGGAACCTGTTTCTGATTTTTGAAGGCTTAACCTTTCTGTTGCTCATAATATTCTAGATGTACACTCAGCTGTGAAATAATTTTTAGTGTTTCTAGGATTGCCTTCTTTGTCCTACTGGATTTGCAGCCAACATGGCATTGATGGTAGCAATAGGAAATATTGGCTCGCTCTTAACTGAAAGAAAAGCTTCATCTGAAGATCAGAAGATTGCCATATTTTCTGATTCACTTAATCATGCATCTATT